TTATAAGGGTATTATTAAGTTCTTAAGCCACCCAAGTATGATGATTTTAATGAAAAACACTAACTCATCTATCTCTTTCCCCTTCAGTTAGTAAAAAGATGCAATATACTTGGATAAACATGTTCAATACTTAACAAAATCAATAACTAAAGCTACTCTAGGCCTCCATTAAATTCTTAATGAAGGGCGTAGTCTTAGTGTAGATTTAATTGGTCTTATGTAGTATTAGTCAGTTAAAATTTAATTTTCTGAAAATATATGTGGAATATTAAATGGCATAAACTGGGTTGTAATAGTCAAAAGCTTAAGAGACATTATCAGATGTTACATAACATAGACTCCAAAGCCTATTATGAGTCTGGTCAACCTTCAGAATTAAGCTTCTATACAGGAACATTCACAAGGACTGATATTTGAGCTATTACCTCTGTGTAAAAACTAGATATTCCAGCTTGACATGATGCAAAATTTTCCCCAAATTTTTTCACATAATCTACAAAAAAAATATACAGTATTAATATAGATAAGCTCAGATTATATTTTTGAGATAGAATTTCACTATATAGTCCAAGTTGAACTCAAGATCCTTCTGACTTGGTCTTCTACTTATTCAGAATTAAATTTTAAGATAACAAAAAAGATCCCCCCAAAGATAACAATATCATCATTCATAATTTAATTTTTCTTAGAAATCTTTATAAATAAGACTATGACTCTTAGGGTATATATTCTGTATTTCACTTTTGAAAGTAATGGTAATTGTCATAATTTATGATTGCACAACTCTATTAACCTTCAAAATATCAATCATGAAACCACAATTAAAAACATTTCTCCTACTTATTTTTCAAGCGAAGGCTTTGCTAGTGCATACTAAAACAAACCATCAGGTGAGAACCTGAGAGGTGGGATGTCTGGCTTTGAGTCCACATTTCCTTGTGTTACTGTGTATTGGTGGTTCACAGCAGTATGTTCTGAAGAGCAGACACATGTTGAAATGGCTGCTCACTCAAGCAAACTCTCACAGGCCTCTCTTCATAGCGTTGTTTTTTCTTCCTAAGTTGTAAAAACAATGGAAATCTACCCCCTTGGAAAGCAACAGGTTTATGATATTAAATAGAGTCTTCATGCTGTGTTTTAGGTTTCTAGACTCATTCAGACTACATAACTGCAATTCAATGTCCAGTGACCAACACCTCCTCATTCTGCCCCACTACCCATCCCCTTCAAACACTCTCCTACTGTTTCTACCTATTTGATCTATTTTATTTTTTTAGATTTCACACGTGAGATTATATTTCACATGAGCCTGGCTTATAGTGTTCATTCATGTTGGCTTAAACAATATGGTTCCATTTTTAAGGGCTGATTGGCATTCCACTGTATGTATAATACATATGTATTCAATCTGTGAATCCTTCAGTCTGACATTTCTTATCTATTCATTAGTTGGCAGCCGTTTAGGTTGTTTCTATATCTGGCCCTCTATGAATGATGCTACAGTGAACGTAAGAATGCAGATATCTCTATTTGATGCTGATTTTATGCTCATTGGGCATAATCCCCAAAGGTTAAGGAATTGCTAGGTCATATGATGCATCTCTTTTTAATACTTTGAAGAACCTCCACACAGTCTTGCATAACTGCTGTACTAATTTGCATTCCCACCATCTTCATCAATATTATCTCTTATTTTTTTGGTAAGTAACCATTCTAACAAAGGAAAAATGATCTCACTGAGGCTCATTTACATTCTATGATGGTTAGTAACACTGAGAACCTTTCTTATACCTACTGGTCATTTTCCTTTGGAAAGAATACTTTCTTTTCTGACTTTTAATTAGCTTATTAGTTTTTTGCTATCTAGTTAGAGAATTTCCTATATAGTTTGGCAATGACCCCATATCTGTGTGTGTTGGTGAAAGCGTTTCCTATTCCCTGGCTTCTCTCTGCTCTGTTGATTGCTTCCGGGGCCATGAAGAGCTTCGCAGTCTGATGTACTGCCACGTGTCTGTTCTTGCCTTTGTAGTCAGAGCTTTTAATGTGACATTAGGAAATTATTTGCTGAACCAATAACAATGGGCTTGCTTCTCTTCTTTTCTCCAAGAGTTTTATAGTTGTAGCACTCACATTTAAATTTTCAGTCCATTTTGAGTTGACTTTTGTGTATGCTGTACGATAAGGGTTCAATTTCGTTCTTCTGCAGGTGGATATCCTACTTTCCCAAAATAATTTACTGAAGAGATTATCCTTCTTTCCTAGATTTTGCCTAGCTGAAAGTGTCAAGCACCATGTGTACTTGTAAGGCCTCTTATTGCAAAGCCCTATGAGAGAATGCTTTTGGAGTTAACTGAGGGCACAGCTGCACTTCTTGTAAAGTTCTGACATGCATGTACCTTAGGAAAGCAAGTCAGGACCATGTCTTCCTTTTGACAAGTTGCTATACCATGTATATTACCCTTCCCTGACACTGATTTTTGCTCTTTCAAAAATTTCCTTGGGCCTTTATTTTACAATTTTAGGTGTGCTAGGTTTATATGATCTTGATTTTTTAAAATGTGCTTAGGTATATCTAATCAAAAATAATAACTTTAGCCTGAAAATGTTTAAATAGGCAAACAAAAACTATTAGACAAAAGAGGATAATAAATATATAGAAACCTAGATTGAGTTTTATGGTAATTGATAATTTAATATTCATCTTTTAGCCTTTTGCATCCAAAGGTAAAATACAAATATTTATTAGCGAGCTTTTCCATGACATCAAAATCCAAAGAGGAAAGATCCCATTATTATCAGAATCAGTAAGTGGATGCAAATATTTGTCCAAAGTTTTAACAGTTAATAAAGATTATCTTTGGATAATAAGGGAGTGGTAAGTGTATTTTATTATTACTGTTTTGGTCGGAAAAAAAATGGCACTCAGACATTTTTTAGTGGTATCCGTTTGCTGCGGATACCATCTTAACACTGTTAACATTTGTCTATAACTTTGAGCTTATATCCCAGCTCAGTATGTGAAGAATCTATAGCAACAGATTTCTACAGGGCAGGTTTTTCAAATTTCAGATATCAATCGACCTCTTACTGCTTCAAGGAATACACACTGATTGGAGAAAAGGGATGTGGGGAGGATTTGTTTATACTGATGTTTTGAATCTTTTTGACGATTCCTAGAAGCTCTGGGAAAATAAGAAGCTTAGTTATTTTTCCTTCTAATGAGAATTGTCAATGTAATTTCATAACTTTAAGGGTCCTATATTTTCTGGACATTTAGACTTATGCTGATTTAAAAATAAGTTTAGTACAAAAATGGATAATTATTAACTCGCTTCTATAATTATTCAACTGCAACTGAGGAATTTATATTTCAAAGTACAAGCTAATTTGCTATGTATTTATATTTCAAAATATAAATATGAATTTATATTTCAAAGCACAAGGTACTATTGCTATGCACAATTGGATAAACCAAGGAAGGAACTGTAAGTAGTTAAAAAGTAGCTGCATCAAGGTCTTCTTCTTCCTCTCTGAATAGTCAAAAATGAAAATGGAAAGAAAAGCTAAACTAAAGGCTTCACTGATTTCCCTCCATCTAGTCTAGAAAGCATTAAGTCACACCTTTCTTTAGCAGCATGGAACCTCGTTTCTTTCCATCCTGTAGCATCACATCACACTTTACCTTGGTAACATGGAGTCATCCGTTTACTCAGTTCTGTTCTCAAATCAGAAGGCATCCCATAGCAAATACCACTGGGGAGCTTATTTTCATTCTTTATGTAAAATACATTTTTCCACCTATGCCCACAAGCCTGAATAAAATAAAAGTAAAGCAAATACATGAAAGTCACACTCCAGCTGTCTGCTTCCGTAATTGATCAGTGGAGCCACTCCAGTACCTACCACAATGGATCCGTTTTCACCTGGTTGCCTGGAAAGTGTTACCCCCAACCACTGGTTGTCTCTCTCCTCCAAACAAGTCTTTCCGCAGGGTTCTCCATTAGGACTACCTGCAGAATTTGAAAATAAATTTAGCAGTTTTGTTGAAAGCAATGTTATTCTATAAGAGTAGAAAAAATAAACGACACGCATCCCCAGTGTTTCCCTTCAATCACTTTTCCTCTCATCTTATATTCAGGTACAATTTGAGGGCAAAAGTGAGTTACTCTCTGCCAACTAGTTGTTCTCTCTATAAGCTGAATTTTCTTTGTTGAAATGACCTCTGAACGATGAAGAGGCCATGAAGAGATGGCCTCAGTGATATAGGAGGTAGTCAAAGAACACGAGTGTGATGGGAGAGATCCATTTGATCCAGCATTAGCTATGAAAATACGAATGCAGAATCTCATGATTAGAAAGGAATTTGCACTTTTATTTGCCCATTTATCTCAAAATGCAAGGAACACCACCAGAGCACTTTAAAAAATGCTTCCTGCATGGTCCTCTGCAATTAAAGCAGAGTTTATTGAAGCTGGAAGGTGGTGACTGAACATGCAGAAAGTGGCCTACACAATTATCATATTAATAATGCAGAGCATTTAAGAGAAATCACCCCGTGTTTTAGATTTAGTGGAATGTGACTTGTGTTTTAACAAAGATAAAAGGATTTCAAAAAACAGATGTGTCAATAGTAAACGAAAGAATCTTCACTAGGCACTTTGGCAAATGAACTGCAAAAAAATTCAAACATAAAATACTCCTAAACTATACAACAGAGGTCTTTACAGTGATGGTTTTCAATTTGTTAACATAACTTTTGAGCTAGACTCCTATTAAAATCATGTATTAAAGTGTTTTCAAATCATTGGTTAGAGGAAGAATAAGCTATATGTCCTAAGATTCTTTTAGCTGTCTTTATTATACTCATTACTCAATACTTGAATATTCTATGCTCAGTTCCAATGGCAGATAAAAACATTAGCATCAATTTGTTTAGGTAAGTATACAGACATGGATTCCTTTACTCAACTTCGAACACTGGTCAAATTTTCATACTGTTATGCTAAAATGTTCCATATCGTTCTTTGCATCATTAACCACCTTGCTTCCTCCTGCAACTCTCACCCCTATGTATAGCTTCCTGGGCAAACTCACACTGTTTATACAGATAAGGCTAATATTTTTCAAGTAAAATCATTGGTTAACTTCTCTGAGTCACAAAAATTTTATTTAAGAAGTATGGGAAAATGTTTACGTGTGCCTTCCAAAGCATCACCAGGGGATCACACAGTCCTAGAACACAGCCAAACTGGAGGAAGTTTCCCAGCTTCTCCTCTGAAGTCTTATTCAGTGGTTCCCACAAGGCCTGATTCTTCCAATGTTCCCTCAGGTTGGGTCAGGAGCAGGTTAGAGTAGAATATGAATATTGCTTTGCTGGTTAAGTTTCCTGGAGACTAATGACATCTCCCACTACTTAATAATGGCTTCCAGGAGGGAGACTGAAAAATGAATGCAGATAGATTCACAGAAAGAACACTGCTAAGCCATGGGAAGTGAGGCTTGCTATAGCCCAAACTCTGGTAAATGATGGTCCAGATGGGCACAGATATTTATGCGTGAAAATTATGGAAGAAAGGAAAGGAAGGCGGCAGGAGAGAGAAGGAAGAGGAGAGAAAGTGTAGCAGAGGAATCAAAGGCAATTGTATTGTGTGTCAGGAGCAAGCATTCTAACCCTGGAAGTTACTGGAGCCTAACCAGCTTAGGGAAATGACAGAGGAGACCAAAAGAAATTTTAATTTTCATTGTGATGCAGGTTTTAGTTTGACTTTTCTCTAAAATCACCATTACTTTTTTCATTTAATGTTTAAAACAGGTAATCAATGGCAGATTCAGTCTATCTGAAGTTAAAGCTCTGTTACCATAATTATTAATGAAATATCATCTTTTCTTTTCTTTTCTTTTTCAATTTTGAGACAGGGTCTCCCTGTAGCTCCATCTGGCCTGGAACTCACTGTGTAGACCAGGATGGTCTTGAACTCACAGAGCTCCACCTGCCTCTGCCTCCTGGGTGCTAAGATTAAAGGCATGTGCCACCATGCCCAGCAAAATATCACTTCTTAAAATAGCAGACTTTTTCCAAAATTAGAGTCATCATCCAGTGAGCTTTTTTCCTGTTCAACTGTCTTGGTTAAGGACAGGAGAGCATGGGTCTGCAAATGACACCTTCACAGTTAGCATATGACCATGTAATGGGTACTTTCATTAAGATTGTATCTGACATTTGCAGACATATTTTCTCTCTTAGAGGCAATTACTTAGGAGCTTAAAAACAGCACACATAGTACTTTGGAATCACAAAAGCATCATGCAAATTGCTTCATGAAAATGGCCAAAAAAGTTCATATGTGCAACAATGGCATACAGTTGCTATATGTTTCTTAGCTGAGTTTTGATATCTAAGTTCATAAATGAATATTAGAGACATCGTTGTCAAGTTAAGCTGTTGTCTGTCTAATCAGAGCTTCTTCCTGCTATTAGTGTTAGCCCTGCAGGTGACTGTGCTCTGCTGTTACTGCTCAGCCTTACTGCTCACTTTCCTGCTTCCTTATCATCCAACCCCTTTTACTCTATTCTACGGGCTTTCCCAGCCCTGTGAGAGAAGGACCGCTTATGATTTTGCTATTTTCAGAAGAGTTCCCTGTGATCTTGAAAATTCTTAGGACTTTATTTCTAGTGTGGCCCACCCTGTCTCTTATCTTTTAATTCTACGTTAAAAGTAGTGATTCTTAGAAACATAACAAAGAGCCATCCTGAAGCCACAAGAAAGATGTTTACTTAACATTAAACACAGCAAAAGTTTCCTAGGATTCTAGTGGTGAGGCCAAGTCACTCTTGAGCAGAATAAATATGCGGTGGATATATATTTGGGTCACATGGGGGATGCGGTTAAATGCCACTAGCCACACTTTTGCACCTGTGTGTTACTGTGATATCCAAACAATAGATGCTTTCTAATTTATAGATAAGATCTCTGATTTACACTAATTTTCCAAATATATAGGCTAAATCTTTTGTCTGTCTTACACAGAAGACTATCAACATTGGCAATCAAGGGCCCTTAGATGCATGGGTTATTGTCATTGAGAGAAAATTATGATGGCACATTAATCAGTAAGAAGAAGAATTTTCATTTTGACTGGATTAAGAACAACTGTTCAACAACGTAGATGGGGATGCCTTTTCCTGTACCAGCCCTGTGAGAGACCTACTCTGCCTTCAAAATAATTAATGAAATATTTGACCTAGTAGGTTTCGCTAGATATGGAAATAGAATATCAAACACTAAGCACATTTTCTTCATGAAAAAAATCAGTACTTCTAATTTGGACAGAGATGATGATTATTAGAATGGTCACAATAAGCTAATTTTCTTGAATTTTCCTTGACAGAATACTATAAACAAATTCAGATTTTATTTTACCCCATGTCATGCTGCAATGATTTATAATCCAGTTTTCAATTCAGCACATACATTACTAATCTAAACTCTCAGTAAATGAAATCGGTTCCATAATTGAAAAAATACTTTACATGGTTGAACATAAAAGAGGTCAGCAGAAATTAACATGTGATGATTTTCCATGCTTTCATGCAGCCAGAACGGCTAATACTTAGCACAGCTGAATGCATTTCCCCAGTACACACTAAAGAAAAGAGGAAGCCACATTAAAGCTCACCCCATTATTCTAAGAACTAAACCCCCTCTCATTTTCTTTTCAGTTTAGGAAAGAAAATATATGTCTACCACTTCCATTTTTTAATTTCTAACTACTGATTTGTATGTAGGAATGCATATGTGAATGGAAATAACCAGCAATTTTAATGAACAAAAATAAGAATGTTAGTACAAAACAAAGCAGGTGCCTTCTTTATCTCCTCCATCACCTTTTATTTTGCTATTCACCTTCTTGGCTTTCCTTTCAACACTCTTAAAGTCTTTCCCAGACAATGGTACATTAGACATTCAATCTTCTGTGTTACCTCTAGAAGGAAAGAGTGACTGTTACAGTAGCATTTCTGCAACTTTGAACAATGCTACTCACTCAGCAGGCTGGCCCTTGGTACATACTTGTGTAGGTAGGGAATTTTGAAATACATTGCACCACCATAAAAATCCCTTCCTAGACAGGGCAAAGGACTGTAATGTTTTCATCCAACTTTGAGATGAAAAAAAAAATGTTTTGATCTCTTCCATTTACTTCTGTGTTTCCCCACTTTTCTTCTACAATATTATTTCCATAAGTTTAAGATAGTAACAGATGGTCTAAAGGAAACAGTACTTGTGAGATTTGAAGCTCTTTCCAAGTTTAACTGGATGTAGGATGACTTAAGATGGAGAATCAGCTAAGGCCCATGGAAGCTGCCTATCTTAGAGGATTCCTGCCAGGATGTGGAAGGAAGAACAGACATGAAGTGCTTGGACAAAAGCCAGGCACAGAACATACATGAACATTAGATGATGACATCATTATCAATATTATCTTAAGGATTAAGCTAAACAGCAAGCTGCACATAAGTCAAGCATACATCCTGTATAAATAAGATATAGCTCATCTGTTGGGGAAGCCTCATCATGAACATTAATTCGGTTTTATTCTCACAGTAGGGCCAGAAGACTTCAACATAATTCCATTTATGCATGAGAAAATTGAGTTTCTTGGGGGGGGGGGCTCTATGTGTATAAGTGTGTGTGTGTCCATGTCTGTGCATGTGGGTAAGTGCATATATGTGGAGGCCAGAGGTCAACACAGGAGTCTTCAGTTTCTCTCCCCTTAATTTTTGAGACAAGGTCTCTCACAGAACCTGTAGCTCATGCATTCAGCTGACTTGGCTGGCCAGTGAGCTCCAGGATCCTTGTGTTTTCACCTCTCTGGCAATGAGATTAGAGGACTGTCACTGTGCCCGTCTTTTCTGTAAACACTGGGCATTGAATTCATGTCTTTATTCCTGCACAGAAAATGCTTTATCATTTGAACCATCTCCCCAGCCCTGACCTGAGAATTGAGTCTTA